ATAACTATTGTTCTGGTACAAATACAACACATTTTTATAGAACAGCCATGGATAAATCAATGCCATAATGTTTATTATCTAAAAATGAAGCCATTTTCAAAATTATCTGAAACAGATTTTTTAGCCTCTGATTTTTTGTTTGTGCAAATACCATTAGGTTTGAATCAACGTTAAAACCTAAAAAAAAAAAAAAATTTGTTGTTCACACAAAATGATAAATTAATGATTAAAAATCTTACGTAGCCAGCTTTTGCTTACTACTCGAAATTCGTGTACTGCACTCTCTTACCGAGCAAAGGCATTGGCCTGAAATAACCGGTTTGCATATATTTTGACAATACGACTCCTGGTCTCCACGTATCCATCCCAACGGCTGATAAAGTGGCATCCTCCTTTCTTCTCCTATACATGTATCAGATTCGATGCTAAAAGTATATGCAGTGCAAGTACATTCAATACAAACTAACTCGATAAAAACTCACAAAATCATGCGGTAGCAGTGATAGTACTAACATTATACAGTAAAATTCCACCAGTGCAGACCATAACACTTCTTTGTTAAATTTTATTGTTTTATGTGATCACTGTGCAGCGGTGGTCCTTTCGGTTTCAGGGGGCGCGGCTGGGCTGCATCTTGTTGTAGTACCTAACGACTTACAGTATAACTATATATTTGCTACGATCCTTCCATATGCACGGAACTGCGTCGTATTTTCTCGAAATATCGACTTTGCAGATATGTATGAGTAGGGAGAGCACGACTGCTTTATTAGAAAAGTTCTTGCATTGATTTGGTATTTTTATAAAAGTGTTAAGTATGCCCCTCTTGAAGATAATGATAAAATCCTTAAACTGCATTCGCTCGATCAACTTTATTGTTCTGACACTGTAAATATTTTTCTATTACACTTGACCAAATGTCGTTAATGTAAATTAAAAAAGTTTTTCTTCAACTGCATCCCCAACCACTTATTATTCATGACAGTTATTTATGCATTTGTAACTATCCTTATTTAGCGCTTTTATTTTATTTCTCAAACGTTTGAGTATAATAGTACAAACGTTTCGCTAGTATTGCTCAATCACGCGTAATATCCAATGCACATAATTTGAAACGCCGGGAGGGTCGTAACTTCTTTTGCGTCTCAATTTTTTCCGTTTATTGATCTACCGGAAGGACGGTTTCTACGCCGTTCTAGAAACTGCAGGGGTTGTCGAGTTCTAGATTGCTCTCAACAGTGTTTCTTTAAAAAAAATTTTTGCTATGGTTCATCAATGTTTATTGTCGTAAAATAAAACGTGTAAGTAGTATCATAGTTTTATTTTGAAATTAATTAATGTGTGTGAGGTGTACAAAGGTATTTTTGTAATTTTATGATGTTACATCTTCGTTTCACATCAAACACCTCGACGGTACGGAGAAGTTGCGCATAGATAAAAAAAAATTGTTTTTCTAAAAAAACGTACGTCGGGTTTCGCGTGTTATTATCCACATTAATTTTCCATGAGGAATACCACGGACTAATCTATCCTTCTAAAAATAGTCGCCTGATTCACGCGGTCTCCAGCCGTGATAAAGTTAGCTGATACTTGAACAATTGACGAGCTAATCAGAGAGCTGCCACTCGCGAGCACGGAAAACAACCATTTTCCTGCAAGAAAATGTCGTTCAAAGATTCGTTTCTATTAAATTATTAAAGATCCGTTTTCTGTACGCAGCTAAACGTTGCCCTACGTATACCTATATCGTTGGCGGGGCAATCCAATATTGGACTGATCCAATTCGTAATACGTAAGCCATACCTGCAAATGGGTTCATTTAATCATTGAATCGGAAAATTAAATTTTATGTTATACCTAACTTAATTTTCTAAAAATGAATTAATACTAGTTATTATCTACTTAAACATGCGTGTTGCGTAATACGTGTTTACATCAGTCCATACGAAAATAAACGCTCGGTTATATAGATCAAATTCACTACTTTTGGGTATATGTGCCATACAGTTGTCATTTAAAAATATAAACCATCTTTTGCATATCGTACGTTACACTCTGTACTGAATACTAAGAATGAACTAAAAATTTATGGAATTCATGGATTCGTAACTAGTGTTTTGGTATTTAATATTGGTGGTGATAAGACTATTTTTAAATTTTTATGCTTTGTATGATAAGATTATATATTAATACATTCTTTAAACTAAAAGCTAAGATAAACAACTGGAAAAAAATAACTGTTCTATTTTTAAAATGTTACTTGCTCATAGATTACAAAATTCTCTTATCAGTACTCTCTGGCTTTATTGATTGTAGGAAAAAAAAAAAATGTTATGCTTCACGAGAATAATAATATAGTTTTTGATCTTGATGTATTGGAATAGTCCACCGCGGAAAACTTCGCAGGTTACCGGCTCGTCATATTTCGATACGATGATATAATTGCAATGGATGTTTTTCCAATATTAAAAAATACAAGTTTTACGGAAGTAAGTAGAAGTATTTTTTTTTTATTCGCCACCAAAACAATAAAAATATGAGTTTTTGCGTTTCACATCAGCTAGGATAAAAATAACAGCTGCATTGACCTACATCAACTTTATACCTATAGCTTATTCAGTAACTAGGAATTGAAACTCTTCGTGACTGTTTTTTTATAAAGCAGTTCATGCACACAATATATCTATTTATACGTTAATCGGATACAAGAAACGATCAAGAAAAATCGTTTATTACCTCTAGTGTTTTATTTACAATTTTAATTGCCAACCTTAATATTTTAATATCAACTTAGTGCCAAAGATTCTTCAAACTGTATTATTACTACGCAAGAGTTAACCTTTATTATGTTATGTAATTCAACTAGGTTTTTTTTCTCAATTGAAAATTTAATGAAATGCTGATTAAAAAAAAAAAAAAAAAAAAAAAAAAAATCTGTAGGCATGAGGTTATTAAGAAAGTCGAGAGTAGTACTTATTTAGAAAAATTACTTTTATTCGTTTTTTCTACAAAAATATCATTCGAATTACANAAAAAAAAAAAAACATCAACAATCTGGGAAGCAGACGGTTCCGGGTTCAATGAATCAAAACAAACATCGGAAATTGAAAACAAATCTCTTGAATAACGTAATTTTCACAGGTGCAGTGTCTTATCGGAATATATAATTATTGTCTTGTGTCTGTAAGCCGAGTAACACAATTTTAGATTCAAAATCTTTAATTTTAACCAAAAAAATTACTGTTCGTAATAAAAAAAATATATTTTATATTTTTTAACTAACAGTGGGTAATAATGGAAGGTTATTAAGAAAGTCGAGAGTAGTACTTATTTAGAAAAATTACTTTTATTCGTTTTTTCTACAAAAATATCATTCGAATTACATAAGTCAACTTTATTCGATAAGGAAAAAAATACAAATCCATTCTATTGAAATGTTCTAATTATAATGACAGGTTTATAACGTACTTAAAAAAAGTTGTAAGAATGTACTCAAAACGTTGTAATGACGTTAAAAATTTTCGGTTATCCTATACTAACAAAAAATCAATTGTTCACTACTTTTACGTTAATTTACTTGTAACTGGTAGCCTAATACACGTTACTATCATCTGAATAACAGCACCAAAAGTAAGAGAGTTAAAATTGTTTAATGATAATTTTCAGCGATAATTAAATTTCATTTCACTTATTTGCACAATATTGAGATTACCAACCCCACATGCTAGGTGCTGTCATTCAGGTGGTAACCCCTACCATGGCCACCAGTTACAAGCAAATTACATAAAATCAGTCCAGATATGATTTTTGTCAACGTGCTTACAACGTTTGTAAAACGACATTACAACTTCATTCAACGACGTTTCCAAATGCAAAGGTCAATAATTTTCCAACGTTTTAAAAACGTTTTACGGTACAAGGAAACAAAGTTTCGGTTACATCATCCTTTATACACAATACACGGAATAATTGCGCAAAAGTAATAATAATGTATTTCCAATCAGTTGGCATAGCCGTCAAACAGCCTCCACAGGTAAGAAACGGCAAGCAATAAAGCGAACGAGCAGGCGTTCGTTAAAACAGGAAGGACCCCGAGGTAAACAAAGATCTGCCTCCACGCGCGCCTCTCCCAAAAAAAGCCGGTTGCTCCTTCCCCCTTTTCGTTACTGCGCAGCTCGTGTTGTTGTCTTTTGTAGTACAATGACTCTTCTGACCTTGTCATGGCAGCAGCGCTTGCCCCCTCCTCTTCTTCCACGGCTCCCTCCAGCTCGATATATATGTGTTACGATATCTACGTCGCAAAAAACGCTAGAGACGGAAAGAGGAAGAAGGTGAACTGCCCCCCCTCCCCTGTTTATCTCTCCCCAATTCTTATGTCAGACCTTATACTGGAACAAAAAAAAAACAACGATACACGTATACACAAGCCCTTTCTTATAGAATAACACGTAAAAAACGGTAAAAATGAAGTATACTCACTCACCGGTTGTATGAGCAAGGGGGAAGCCGAATTGTTGGGTGTGTGTATGTATATACACCGCACACTCCACCGGGTTAATAGACGAGGATGGAGATGTGGACGCCGAGCCCTGGGCGAACGTGCCAGAACGCTCATCGGCTTCCTCTCTCTCCTCCGCCGCTATGTGCTCTACGACGCAATATGTGCTCGCCGGGGACGATCAATACCCAGCGCCGCTATTATTGCGCGTTTCGCCCAACGCGGTGAGAGAAAAATCTCAAACTTTTTTTTGTTACCGACTCTTAACGCCGTTGACAGTCGAAAGTACCTTTATTGGGCCATTTGATGCATTGTGATGTGCAACAGGGTGGACATATATCGTGACGGTTGTTCGACGGTGTGCTTTCATTTGGCGAGCCAAACAACAACGCGATGGTCGGCTCTGGTCGGGGGGGTGGGGAGCCGATCCGGTGGGTTCTAGAACATTCGTGGAGGCACTGGCGCGCGGCTATAAAAGCAGCTGGGTCGTGGGATCCCCGGCGCATTCGTAAACACACCGCACACCGAGGAGGGTTTGCAGAGACAAAAGCTCACGTTGGAACATCCTTGCCGTTGCCGTAATACGTCGCAGCGACGACGTAGTTTTTCTTCATTCTGGCGACAAAGTCAACATATCTGGGGCAATGTAGACAAAAGGCGGCCCGGCTGTTGGGCGTGCAGCACAATTTACCGTGAGTATTTTTTATTTTTTTTTTATTTTTTTTTTTATAATTTATAGATATTTCTTTTATTCTAGTTTCATTTGTACAAGGGACCTTTTTTGAGTTAGGCAACCTTTTTTTGTTTCGAGGATTCAGCAAATCGGTATCTTATCGTTTTCAAAGTTTGAGGGGGGTGTAGATTGTGTATTGGGGATACCTAAATTAAATTAAACTTGTGATTTTTAATGTAGGGCTTTATTAAATAATTTTTTTGGGTTGACAAAGTGTGTGCGGATCTGTTGGAGAAAATATTCATAGCCGGCTTCTTTTCATAATCTCGTGCAAAATGGTTTACTAAAAATAAATCTGTATATTGCCAAGTATAAAAGTAAGTAAAAAATGTTTTATAAGAATTTTTTAAAGTTAATTGCAAAAAAAAAAATTCTTCCGAAACATGATAGTTTTTGCAATTAAAAAAAAAAGATTGCTTAAAAATTATTTTGACCAACTTTTTAAGCCTGGAAACATGCAGATTTGTTTTAAGAATCCACTTTGCATGATATTATGCCAACAGACTATGAATCTTTTCGTGAACGGATCTGCAGGTACAACTCGAACTGAGAGTACTTAAGAAAAATTATAAGTTAAAGCTACCTAAAAAATTATAGTTAGGTATAAAGATTAACGCAGCCAAAGAGTTTAATCGGCCTGGGGTTCAAGTTATACAGTCCCAACATAATGTCATTCATGTCCATTTCTTAAATTTTGATTTCATTTATTTAATGCACTTTTTGAATTATGATACTTTATTGAATATCCTTTTTCACGCATCTCTCATTAAGATATTTTCTTCGATTGAATTTAAAATCGTAGAGTATGCCTTTAAAATTTGAAAGATAACAGTGCTTGGAAAAATTTTATTACCGTAAAAAAATCTTTAAAATTTTGTAGAAACCATTGTACATAAAAATTTCGTCATTAATTTTTGCATCAATTAGTGTTATTGTTGAATCAATATTGCAATCAATGCTTCAAGATAAAAGAATGTGGAATCGAATTTTTTTATATTTTCAGAGTGCCCTGCGGGGTTATGGTTCCAAAAATATTGATCATTGCATACCTTTGATCTCAAATCTTTTGTTATAGTCTCGTTCGTTCTGCAAACCGATGAAATAGGTAAGCGTGAAATCTAATCGATAAACAATATTTGTAGAGTGTAATTATTTTTAAAGATGAGAGCCTGTGAGTTCTGCTTTTAATAATTGAGAAATATTGCATTAACATGTTGGAAAGTAAAATTGAATTGACATTGAAAGCGTATTATTTCAATATTCAATTGAAATTTCTGTTTTTGGCTAAAACGCAGTATATAGCAACAAATAATAAAATTTGTATTATTATGTAGGTTTTTCCATTACGGTGCAATTAAAAATGTTCAAAACACGTCAAAACTTTGGGTGATTCCTTATATTATTCACAGTACTCTTATGTAGCGAATGACTTCATACATTTAAGAAAACTTTGTATCATAAGAAAAGTAATTTTTAATTAAAAAAAAAAACCCTGAAAATATCCTTTTTCTCTTTTTTTGGTTTAGCTCTTATCGTTCGTCTTGGGAGTACGCCCTGTTTTAAAGTTCTGTCACTCCAATACTATCAATAGAAGATACTCGAACGAAAAAATCGAGTCTAAATTCGATGCGAGCATGAGAAGATCGAGATATCAATAACTTCTAGTCTATTATGGTAAGCAAGCTACAGGTTTATTGACACCGCAGCGAAAATTTGTTGACGCCAAGCGTCGTACAGACGCTTCGGCTGAAAAACATCCACCATAATACTGATAAACTCAAAGCAGCGCTTTATAAAGTACAAATCACACGAGTGTAATTCCGTTGGTTTTTTTCTCTAAAGACAGGCTTGCCGTCAAAAGCAATTCAGGCGAGCGTTATCCTCTCAGGATACAAAAAAAAAAAAAAAAAAATCTGTAGGCATGAAATCAGCATTGCATGTGACAGGAGGGTGCGAGTTTGTGTAAGGTTTTACTACATATTAAGCGATCTCTATCGCCTGTTTTTAATGTAAACTTAAATGTGCCCCAAAGATCTAGAGAAGAAGAAAAAAAAAACAGCGTTAAAATCGCTCCGAGCTTAATGTAACTAAAAATCCAACTTTTTTTCCTGATGTACAAATTATAAAACCGTTCCGATGTAGTTCCTAGGCTGACCTGCTTGTGTGAGGCTTGTTTCTGCCAAGAGACGTTCATACATGCAAGTGGGTGTTATTGTCAGTGAATTTTTTTTTCCTTTGCGAGACATTTCTGTTATTTCAGAATTATTTTATCGTCAACAAAGAACTTTTTAGTTTTTGGCCTAATTTTAAAACTTCTTTGAGAGAAGTAATATTTTTAGAGTTCAGATAAGTACTCCCCAACGCGAGCGTTTGGTCGTTTGATTTGACTCAAAAGAATGTAGAGCTTATTATCTCTTTTTTGTGTTAAATTATACTTAGGATTACACTTGATAATTGCTATATTTTATACGTATATTTTTTTAATTATATATATTTACGCGATTAGTGGTTCTTAACGGTTGATCGGGCGCCCCTACGGGGGCAGGGGCGCCACGGGTGATCTGTCATCGTATCCCAATGACCGAAAATCGAGAAAAGGTAATTCAAACGAAGCCCAACAACTCACAAATATATATCAACAACGTATGTTTATTATACACCTATTCAAACGTCTTTTCGGAATTCGAAGCACCGTATCTTCCATAACGCTATAGCCCCTGTTAAGACTGAAACAGTCCCGGATGCAAACGTAAAATTTTTTTACATGGGAAGATGTACAGAAAGAAACTATAAAAATAAAATTTCATGACGTTTGGTACACTTTGAATTTTGATCGAGGAAGCGATCGTTTAGCTGTGATTCCTCTAGAAATGTTACAGTTCTAGTGCTTGTACACCGAATGTTTCGGTAAGTCCTTTATACGTGTGATAAGGAGCCTTAATAATAATGATGATTAAAAAAGTTTGATACATTTGCGATTGTATGATTCACAGAACCTTTTTCGAGGTAAACCATTTTTTGTACACTTAAAACTTTTGTGCATCTTTTTATCAAATCGTCGGAGTTTAACAAAGTACGTAATCTACATCTTGCACTAACTATTACTGATTATTACATAGGTCTACACAATTAAGCAATAGCCAATCGGGTGAATTACCAAGTTACGCGAGGGAGTCGTGCGGATCATTTAAATCAAATTTGACAATATTATTTCTGCCTAATATAGTTCAATAGAAGTACCTAAAATCATTAAAGATAATTTTTTGACTAGTTAAGCTAATAAAAAGTACGAAATCATTGTGTTTGAAATTTTTTAACACTTAATAAGTAGCAGAAGAAAAATATTTTCTTTTTTTGATTTTTTTTTTAAAGAAGAACCGTTTGAAGATTGCGACTATCCTATGACTTTTGCTTGCGTAAGCAAAAGTCATAGGATAGTTGCTTTCTAAGGGTTATTTTTTAAAAACATTTTTCAAACTGTTTGAAGAGTTTACCAATTTCTTTTGCAAAATAAGTACTTTAGAGACTTTAGATTTTAAGTTTGTAGTAACGTAAACGACATCACTAAGATTCTAGTAAAAGAGAATGTAATGCGACAAAATAATCTTAAAAAGAATACAGAATTCAAAACCTTAAAACTTGTGGGATATTATCATAATTGTTGAAAGTACAATAGTGTTGAATAAACACTGAGTGTAAGCTGTAATAAAAGTGTAGGAACGTTAAGATTAAAACTAATTAAGCGACCTAATCAAGCTAGACACCACAAAAATTTTATTGCATAAAGTTTTGCAAAACCTATTTATCTAAAGTAATTAATACCTATCTACTGTATATATATGCAGTAAACATTAAAAAATTATCAATAACAACTTGATAAATAAGATCTCTGTAATTTAAAATTACCTTTTTTCATCGTATAATCTGGATTTGCGATATTAAGACCTTGATAGATCGCTAAATATTTTTTAAGTTGTCTCTGCAGGGCATAAGATTAAGTTGAAATAATTAACTATTTAGCTTTTTGTTATGTCTTGTGGAGACTTGATTGATTTATAGTTGCCTTAAGAACAAAAGAAAGTGGAAATTTTAAATACGTTATCTAAAGAGATATACATAAGTATCATGAAGTTAATGTTTTCTCGTAAATTTCCTAGATTCTCATCTTTCTTAAAAGGTCAATTATTTTAGATTAAATTTTGCTCTACTTGTAAACCAGTCGATTAAACTGAACACATTAACTTCATTACTGTACATCATTCATCGTTTAACCTACATAAATATTAAAAATAAAAACCATCTACTTTACCATGATTCAAACAAAATAAATCTCACTAATTACATCTTACAGTAGAGAGTCGTTTGCATGTAAAAATAAAATTACATATTTTACCATGGAGAAAAAAAAACACCTTAATCTTATAACACGAACAGGAATCATAATTAGATCTATATGTTAGATTTATGCATTGCAAAGTTGATCCATTATTTTTTGTCAAATCTTAATTGAATATTATTATATTAAGATTATACTTTTATTTTTAATGCTTAATTCGTACAAGTTTAGTGGTACATGTTAGTCTCGAGATAAATAAAAATGTTCATGACAAATTATGATTGTACATAATCTTGAAAAATAGGGATTATGTTTGATCAATATCGGGCTGAATATTTAATTATTTAATCTTAAGATGCTCAGTAAATCATTTATTTTTAAGTCTTGCTGACACGGATCTTTATTAGACCCAAGACCTTAAATATTATTTTTTTCAATGACTGCAAACCTCACAATAAATAATGAAAAATATTGAAATATATTACGCATGATAAAATTAAAAGTGTTTAAAAATCTTAAGATAAAGTATATAAACTATTCATGGTTAGTCTAAGTAATTGTAATCTACTAATGCGTAAGATTATTTTTGACTAAGCTTACAATGAATATTACAGTAGCATTTTATCTTAAGAGTTTAATACAGTTAGGAAAAGATTTACATTGTTAGTGTAATGATCAAAGGGCTTGCAAAAAAAAAAAAAAAAAATTAGCAGTGCTAAAAAAATAAGGATTATGTTCTGACCATTTCATATACAGCTTGTCGTGTAGGTTAACCTTAAATATAACATAAACCGAGTTCTTTTAGTATAGCAGTTACTGACTTTTTTCTTTGTAATATCTCATGTTGTAACACTGTAATTCAATTCTTTACTTACTTAATTCTTATACTTACACAACATTAAAATTTATTCGAATTGATATTTATTTATAGTGTTTAAAATATAAGATCAAACGTTTGATTCAACCTTCAAAATAGAAGATTATTAAAATGAAAACAATGAGAGACCGAAGCTTGATCATGAAATGTTTGGTTCCTAACTGATAAAGATTGTAGGGTGAAAGGGAACAAACTAAACTCACTGTTAGGCTAATAATTTATGAAAATGCGGTAGTTCTCGCAAAAGTGCTCTAAAAATATGCTGATTTGTGTATTGTATAGTCATTTTGAATAAAAAAAAAAAAAAAAAAAAAAATGATTAATAAACATGATTCTTCGCCAGTTAACTAAATTAACTTCTTCGATGTTATATAATTGTATATGTATGACACAATAAAATTGAAAGGAATGACATTTAATAGTAATCATAAATATTAATAGAAGCCGAAATTTAAAAGATATTTAATATTTTATTAAATGATAGAAGTATAATAAATCGTAAGATTTGACATCTAATACACATACTATGAAAAACATTGTGTCGCATAATATTACAATTTAATTATTAACTTCTTTGCGTATAAAATTGCATTTACAACCATAACATAAATTATTTAAATGTTTTTAAGTAATTAACTCTTAAATGTGGAACACTTGATAGGTTTACAAACAGAATTGACTAAAATATTAAGATCAATTATTTACCACCATCGTATTGAGTAGGTTCTTGCCTCATCACGTAATACTGATAAACTCATAATGCGTATACTCTAACTTGTATTTGCACATTATCCAAGTCATCGTATTTTCTCAATAAGTATATGGAATAATGATGAGTTTAGAAACTTCTAAACACATCTCACATTACATCTGCATCTATTAGGTATTAACCTAATTTTTGTATCAAACAAATGATAAATAGTCAAAAGTCTTTTTTGGTAATGAAAAATTTTGTTATAACAGCAAAGTCACATTTGATGTAAGTTTTTTATTAAATCATAAAGTTATTTAAGCACGAATGTTACTACGTTCTCACAAGGGCACTATCATTAGATAATCCCAATCATTTTTCCTATTACTTAGTCTTTTTTTTTTAGAAATAAGCATGCTTTCTATTTTTTTAGTACCACCTTTCTAATATTCTTTTCTATCATCGCTGCAAAGTCCATCACAACATTTTTTTAATAAAAAAGATCAAGTCACATAAATATGATGAGCGTTTTTATGTCATGTTAGGGTTAGCCACTTAAAATAGCTAAGGTTAACATTTCTTTGATAAGGTGAAAGTAATATGAAAAAAAAAAAATAAAAATAAAAATAAAATAAAATGAAACGGAAATAAAATGCAAAACTGATTTATAAATGGAAGAAATTATTAACGTCATTTGATAAATGGTAAAAATGCATAGCTATATGTCATTGAAGCTTTATGGTGTTACGCGTGATTTAGGGCAGTAGGTTCATAATGATAAATTAAGTCACACTCTAGCAGATATAACTCATTATAATATTTGTGGTATATTTGGTAGAAATAATTATGTAAGTCTACATGGAGTGGCATTATAATCTTAGATTCAATAACGATATGATTAAAACATGACTTGAGTGTTGAAGAATTTATAAATATAAAGGTACACCATGTTACTTCTTGATCGACATTCTATTAATATACTTACGAAGCAAAAAAAGTACGATAAAACACTACCACAAGAATTAAAGTTTTGATGTCGTAATTTATGCATATGTCTTACTATAACTGTGCTCGCATTACAACCTCTTAAAAGTGTAGCTAAGAGTTGATGAGAATCGAATTAAAAAGAACCATTATGTAAGTGGAGTATCCGATCCACGATTAATTGTGTCAGAGAAGTAAAAAACATTGATATGTAGATTTAAGGAGTAAAATGAAAAAGGATCCGTAACTTGGTAATTTGCGTGTATAAGGAAATTCAAAAGAAAAAATATGACTATTGATGTATGTTAACCAGCATCTTTATCGCTGCATGTGCATTTCTATAGTAGCAATATGATTACCAATGGTTAATTGCTTGATTGAAACTTTAAGGAACTATCAATATATCTTACAAAGTAATAAAATATGGAAATATTCATGTATCGCCATGTGCAACTTGATGAAAGATGAAAACTACACCTTTGTAGACCTATAAAAAACCTTTTGTAATCGACAATTTATTCAAAGATCGCAAAGTTAAGAGAAAAGAACAATAAACAAAAAAAAACGAACAAAACAAATATTAAGAGTCTTGTTTACTATTTCTTAGTATAAAATCCGTTAGATTTGTGAGAATTATGTGTAAAAAAAAAAAAAAAGAATGTAATACAAAAAACAAAAAGTGAACATTTTGTAGAATCGTTTTATTGAAAAAATAAAGATCCGAATAATAATAAAAATGTAATTTAAATTTTTTCCCTGTAGTTCGAAGATTGTTTAGATATTGAGTGCTTTTCTATTAGGTACTCATAAATGTTCCATCAACTTCAATCTTAATCGAGTGAAAGACAAGTAAAATCAATGGTACGTTTGTATTTAATTAACTAGTATTTTATTGTAGCGTAAATTTTCATTTAACACTTATTTAAAATTAATATTTTATTTTTGAAAAGTTATATTTAATTGATTTTGTCAAATTACAATTAATTCAAAAAACATCACCTGACGTAAATCACTTGTAAATAATCATAAATCATCATGAGTCAAAACTTTCAGAAGTATCTTATGTTTTTGATCTTTACAACTTGTATAAATAATTTTTATGTTCACTGGAACCATTAATTTTTCATATTTTTTTTTTTCACTTGGTTTTAAATAAACACGTAAAGAAATTTATTCAACGCCAATTCATTAGTAGCTTGGATAAGCATGATTCAACGTGATAAAAACAAAAATATTAATATTTTTGAATAACGTAAGTGTTAGTAAGGTTAAGTATATTTTTTTATTTGTGAATGGGATATTTGAAAAAAACGATGAGAAATATTGATATTAATTTTATTAAGAAATCTATGTTTTAAGTGGATTGAGATATATGTAACTTCAAGGACTGCTGCAGCCTTTCACAATCTTGTACAGTAAAAATTTCAGATTTCTAGAACAAAAGGGTAAAACACATAATTTAATATTCATCCCAATTTTCATATACAATAAATACGCACAGTATATACTTACGCTATGTTCTTTCCATATTCCGTAGTTTTGTCTTATATTCTTAATAATTTCTGGTAAATCGATAAATGCTGCAAAAAAAACCATCAAATGAAAACAGCGTAAGGGATGAATTTATCACCCTAATAATTGTTATTCTGGTAGGAAAAACATACCGTCCCAAGCCTCCATCATACCACTAACAATATAGTCAACGAAACCAATTTGAGAAGCGGCTATAGAACATGAAGATCTTTCAAACGTTGGCATTGTGACAGGCAAATTTCTTTCTTGTTCTGCTTCAGTCTAAAAAATTGTATTAAATTTAATTTAAATCAAAAATGTTCTTCCAGTTTGAAAACAAAATAATTTTTGCTTCATTTGATACTTCAGGCTTATCCTGAATCTATAATTTGACAAGAATTAATTTTCGTATTATTCATACTTGTCTAAAGTATTCTTCAGCGATTCGTTTTGACCATTCAATACAAAGTTTTAAAGGTCGTGCAGGATTAGAAACGTCTGCACACTTTATCATCATTCTTTTGACCAAAGTTACATTCTCCGCCATCGAAAGCGGTGATGAATCAACTGCGTCAGAATACAACTGTAACAGAGTTATTCATTAGTTTTATTTTTATAATTAAAGTTTTATTAAAACATCGTGTATTTTAAACGAAATTTAATTATTGGTCAAAAACACACCTCAGACATCGATTCCTCGGATTGCACACTGCATATATTGACGAACTTTGCCAAGTGCTCGTAATGCTTCGTCATATCAGTTGCTAAAATCATATCAATAATGTTTTGCCTGATGGATTTGTAAGTATCCCTGTCTAATGCCTGAAAGAGAAAATTTTCATCCACAATATTTTTTGATTTAATCAAATAAAAAGTATTCAGTGTTGCAAATAATCAATACCTTAAAAATATTGACCTCCGAGTCGGCCAAAGTTAATTTAAACGTCAAAGCTGCGTGGTGAGATTCGAGTACAGAAATATCGTTGTATAAAACGGCCAGCCTCTGTCCTGCATTACATATAAATTGACTAAAAGCAAACAGACAATGTATATATTTATCGCAAGGAAGTAAATAATGTCTATTTTTTTTCCCTCAATAATAAGGATTGTGTGTACCTAGTTACGCCAGGATGATCCACGTCATGTGTGGCAGCAGCAATTAACGCCGCAGCTTGATCGAGGGGCCCCAAAAGAGATTTTAGTCTGTCGGACATCATGAAGCGCGCAGTAGCTTGCAATACATCAGCCGCGTGGGTTGAATTGTGGTAACTGTTTTGAACATTGTAACTGCCCTCTATAACCGTGAGCCAATTCAGCAAAACACGTTCCTCGCACTTTAGTTGAGCAGGTACACCGTACAGGTTCATGATGTGCATGCCAAGATAAAAAAGAGACCTGAAAATAAGGAGTAGGTTTTTTTTTGGCGTTGCTGAATCATGAAGGAAAGCAAAAATTGCTGCTCACCTTTTTTCGGACAACATTTCGAGCTTGAATATGTCGAATTCCCAGCTCAAACTATTCTCCAACAGTAGTTCGATTTCCCGGGGACCTCTTTGACTCCTAGACGTCGGCTTAGGCGATTGTTGGCGCAGTATTCTTTGAACACGTCCTACCGAATCGTTGGATGATCTCCGCGAGTCCCGAGCGTATAAAGGTGCCTTGAACAATAAAATACAATTTTAGGGGCACGAGAACTAAGTGTCCTTTAATATTATTATGATGTAGTGTTGTTACTTGTTGCCCAATACTTTGATAAAAATAAGCTACAAAATTAACAAACGACAGTCAAATAGACTTACCGAAATGAGTGCTCCAATGAGATCCGAAGTGATGGGATCGTTGGTGAGGTCGCCGGACTCTTTGACGTAAGGTGCGAACAGCTCTGTCGTTTTTAATATCTCGATGGCCTAAAGCGAGACATTGAAGAAGGTCTCGTCTTCACTTGAAAAGAGGAGCTAGGAAAGCTACTCGTGTTAACGTTAGCTCTCGTTACGTAAACATTATAAAATTGCACACCCAAATACCGAATAAACATTTTATCCTTAATTCAATCCGACTAACAGAACATTTCAACAATTTCAATAATTTGTGTGTACATTTTTGGTTGTTTCAATGCAATAGCGTTTTATATTAATTTAAATCATAATCCTTTCAATAAGAAAAAATGTTCACGCTAATGCTCTTTAAATCACGTAATGCGAGAGTTAAATATAGTTTTTTTTCAAAAAGTTATTACTGTACTAGTACAAATAATAATTAATATAATTATTTTTGATCGTGCAAATATGTTTTCCTGTGCTTTTCAAAAAGTATACATATAATATTTGTCTAGCAGAAAATTTTAATTTGTATTTACTATTATGTATGCATATGCAAAGGTGTAGTACAAACCATTGCATAATGTAAAATTAAAATGTTTGCTCCGTAGAGAACAGTTATTTTAATTATTATTTACACTAGATAAGGTGATTCTACAGATGAGGGCCGTATTTATGTAGAGTTTATTACAAATTAACGCTAATTTACTTTGTATTTAAGTAATATACTCCTCAGATAGTTAAATGTTTAAAAGTTTTGTTAAAATTTAGTAAGTTATGAGATTTTTCAAAAGTATTCCAATTTAAGTATCAAGAGACTTTAACGCTGTAAAGAATTTTACGAAATCTAAAATTTTTTAAATACCCCTTAAGAACACGTTACACTTATGAGATTTTAATTTAAAACATGAACAATATACTTCAGAAGCAATATTACAAAAAAAATACATCCTAAATTTGTTGATTACTCGGAAAAAATACTTTTACCATCGATATCCTAAGACTCTAATCTCGTCAGAATCACACGCACACTAATTCAGTCATTTGTTTATCAACTACTTATGAAAAACTATACACGTAACAATATTTTCTGTAGATTCACCTTCCTTAATACATATCCGGGTAATAAAATAATTTCTGAATGCTTTTTGCTTGAAAAATCTAAAAGTACTTTTACAAACTTTGTTTATTTGGTTCACCACTTCTGGAAGGGCAGCATCCATCATCGCAGATGTTAAAAGAGTTATAACTTTCGTGATTGGGGCTTCAATGGGTAAATTATGTAACTTCGCAATACTGCACCTCCTTTGCACTATGACAAAATACATACAGTAGAATTAAAAGATAAAATAGAATTTAAGGATATTTTAATATCGTTGCATTTAAAAATTAATAAATACTGATCTTATTGAAACATAAGAAGTAAAAAAAAAAAAATTTATGACAGTTATAATATGAAAAAAATATAGTCATCCTTTATAAAAATAACAAAGATAATCTTGATACCTTCAATAAAATCAACAAAGTAAAAAGAAATGGTAAAAGTAATAAATACGTACGATCACTATTAACCGATCCAACATCGAATGAGCGCGAAGAATGTGCACTTCCCCTTGGATGTAAGTGGCTGACTGTATGTGGCCACCCGCATTTTATTTTTTCTATTTCTTCTATATTTTCTAACAAATATGTCGTATCGTAAATGTAAATATAATGAGTGGGTCGCCTGCAGAAACATTTATATATTTATTAATACTAATAAATTTATATTTAAACAAAAAATAAATGTGAAAGTAAGGGATCACCTGCCATGGGTACAAAAAGGAATGATTCTCGAGCTTATCGTTATAGGGCCATTAAATTTTCTCTTGCAGTTCATGTTTCCGTATGATTCTAGACCCTTTTGTAATAACTGATTCATGAGGTTAAAATTTTCGCAGGTAATGATTTCGTTAAGGTTTTTATTAATTACTTCATCCAGTTTATATCCTAATAATTTTTCGGTTACTTCATTGGCAAACTGTATAAGTATAAATTAAGTAATGAAATAATATGTCGCTTATGAACAAATTAAAGTGTATCATATAACATTGTATTACATATAACAATGTTATTTTAATATTATGTTATATTAAAATGTCAGGTAGTCCTTTATTTTTAGTTGTCAAAAAACCCATGATAACAGTTTTTCAATTACCTGAATTACATGTCGATCGTTAGTCACGTGAATCATGTCTCGACATCTGTGAACAGCCAAGTACAGAGAATGGGCCGTGGCTAGTTGTAATTTTGCTTGTACTTCGTTGGCGTGGATTCCGATGAGCTCATTTATCAAAATTTTCTGATTCGAGCATTCTATAAGAGCCTTAAAAAATTTTTAATGTCATCCATCATTGTTATTTAAAAATGACACTTTAAACATGCTTTGGTATAATAATTCATTAAAAGTAAGAGAAATAATTCAATATTTACTCTATTGAAGCCAGCATCGAGTACTTGCAACGTGGTACACTCATCTTGATTAGATTCAGTGAAAAACCTGCAATAATAGAAATTTTTGAATACGTGTAAAAAATAAAAATTAGTAAAGAAACAGTTGATAAAACAATTTCACTCACGATCGTTTAACAAGCGCTATAATTACCGATGTACGATGATTATGTGTATTTTGTAAAGTTCTGAAATTCATGCAAAACGGTGAAATACGAATCGAATAATAAACGATAGAAATCGTCCAAAAACTATTAAAATTTTGTCGGTTAAACGAATATTTATTTTAGTATAGAATCTCGTGATTAAAAATACTTTTTTTAATATCATGAAAAATAATACCTGCATATATCGTCAGCCTGCTGACGTTGCACTCCCCTTCGGTCAATAATTACAATGTCATGATAATGAGTTTGGAAGAGTTCAAGAGCCTCGTCCGCGTTTCGTGCCTCTGAAACATGCCAGCCCAGCTTTTCGCATGTTTGAACTAATATGTCCGACTGTCTATCATCTTGAGCAAAAACCAACAGCACCTGTCAAGTATAGTCATTATTTTTTTTCTTCTTTTATTTCATCAAAACTCTCATGCTCAACAATATTTTTTTTTTGAATGGTTAATTACAATGATTTCAATTATTATTTTTTGTCATGCCTAATGAATTATTACTTCAACTACAAAACTACAAATGACGAACAATTTTGTTGCGTAGATAAATTAGTTTTTACATTATTTGACTTTAAAGTAGACGTAAAATTAAAGTATAACCAAATAATTATCAAAATATACTATTTGATTCCAGAGCAGTTTTTCTAATAAACATGATAGGTTTTTTAATTTATATTTCGTTTGCAACATATTTTTAGCAGATGTTATAAATTGGTTCACTTGAAAATTTTTAAAAACTTTTTTGGAAATTTTTTATTCTGCATAAATTAATTCAAAAAATGTTTTTTTTTTTTTCTTTTTATAGCAGTTATTAATAATATTTTATACGTCTTTCATATTAATCAAAATTTTCCGTTTTCCGAAAACTACAAATTGTTAATTTCCGACAACTTAAATTTTTCGAACAACGCGTGCTCTATATTTTCATTAAATTTGGCTAGGATTTATTATAAACGTGCTTACTTTAACATTAACTGCACCTGTATTGCTGGTTAGCCAACTGGATCCGAAATCACTTGTTCCTTTCTAAAAAAAATATAGGAAGCATTAAATATGGATAAAATACTTATTAAAAAAAGGAATCTTCTATACTGTAGATTTATTTGTTGGATTCTTAGATTGAGATTTGTAGTATGAATATATTATAGACTAGCGATCGTTAATAAGACATTTGTCTATATCCTCAAAAACCAGGGCAGTGATATGTACGACTCTCAATTTTATTCCAGTATTTTTGTACTGTGCGTCCTTACGTCTGTTTTAATATGATTTTGATGTATAATTAACATGTATTAATTAAAAATATAAAATTTATATTTTAGGCTCTATCGTGTTTAACATACCAAAATTTCTTAAAATAAAAGCTAAGTACACAAAAAAAAAAAACTTCTGTGATACTATAAAATAGTTAAAAAAACAAAACTTGCTTGATATAACAATTTCTGTCTATTGAATGCATAAGATGAATTAATATAAATATATAAAAAATCTTCTTTGGCAGTCTTAAAGTATATTTTCAATTAAGGAATAAGAGACTGACTTGATTTTATTTTAGTTTCAGTTGAAAGTTATTTTTTTTCGTTTTAAGTGTTACTTATTTTTGGCTTAAAAAAAAAACGAAAACGATATGATCTACAAATATCTTACTTTTATTTTCAACATATAACGCTGATGGAATACTTTTTACTTACAATCTGGTGAAAGTCCATATTGTCGGTAGGATTGTTGGAGTGATTAGAGTCTTGACCTGAAAATAACAAATGAGTTTAAATAAATCTTGTGGATTCGCGTATGTATCGTTCTTACATTAGAATATTTATAGATATAAAATTGGTAGCGTTATCCAGTTGATCGAAAAGTGTAATTTAATTATTAATAATAATAAAATTGAAGACAAATAAATAAAACTTTAGTAGAGTTTCTGCCCGAATTTCGTGATAGGTATTTTAAAAGTTAAAAAAAATAGTTTAACACATACTATCTAAATAAATTTTCAACTTTCTGACATATCTGGGCTGAGATGAGATCAAGTAAGACAGGTAATTCCGTATATGTAATTTGAAATCAGTTAACATAAATTTAGCACAAAATCTACGAATTAAAAGATATCTTGTTTTGATGTATGATTATTAAAAGGAACAAACTTTATGTCTGCAGTGATCAATCAAATTATACAATGTATTACGAAATATTTGTCTGTTTGTAAAAACTCACTAGAGCAAATGATAAAGACAAAACAAATAATATTAACTTGAAAAATGCATTTGAGATCAAAATCTGACTTGCAGATTAAAATACCAAGGGTACATCGATAACGCATAAAAAATGAGTACAACAGAAAATAATACGTGACTTAATTCTAGTCAAACTATTTTACTAATAAATGAAAAAAAATCCGCTACGAAAAACTAGTAGCAGTGTAAACAAAGTCACATGTCTTGTCTGTTATCTCCCTTCTCGCCATAATAATTAAAAAATCAAATCACGAGAGAATTAATTTTGTTGGTCCCCAAGTCTCAAGCTGATTTCCAAACTAGTTGAACCCGTCTCGCGAAACCTTCCAAATAAAAAANACTGGTTTTCTATTCTTAGTCTGAATCCACTCGTTCTCCTTGGTCTAAATGTGATAAAGTTTTTGTTAACTTTTAGTTAGAAATACAAGAAATACAAACAGACGCGGCAGCTAAATATGTTTACCTTAGTTTTAGCATCTTTGTGGTATGACAAAGCCGTCACGACACGAAAGTCATTTTGATAAGTCGCATTCTGGATAGCTTCGAGCGATAAAAGTAGCTCTTCCAGAAGCTTTTTGGACGCGAAGGTGATGGTTGACGAATGTTTTTTTTTTTGGTTTTCCTTGCCTACTGGAACATTCTCTTTCATGTCGTTGTAAGCTTTAAAGGCATACTGGCACGCCGTATGGAAATGAGTATAACGTGGAGGGCCCAATTTATGGATTTCCTTAAGCTGCATCCAGGCTGTGCTACCGCACAACCATTTACTCGTAACCTCATCAAAGGGATGCTGCAAATTCTAAAGAAAATTTTTTTCGTAACAGATTAGATGACGAATGGCAAAAACTTATAACTTTAGAGTCCTGTTTTCAATATATTTACATTAGACGGTAGTGTTTGGTTGTGTATAACGTTGATCAGGGCATCGATATAATATTGGATATCTTGGTAAGCCTCGTGCTTTGTTACGCTGAATACAAATTTACAGTCTTCAGAAACCTCTTCAAGGTGATCCTCCCTAAAGCTGGTGCTCGCGACTTCTCTGCATGAATTTTCTATATTGTGAGCCTCGTCTATTATCACAATGTGACCCTTCAGTTTAATTTGCATCTGGAAAAAGAAAAAAAAAAATTAAACAACGTTTACAACCATTTGTAAGAGTCGTCGAAACTCACAGTATCTCTGATCACTGGATCTATCAGGTAATTGTACGGGCAGAAAATAATGTCCGCCGTATCCATCATGCTCCGCGCAGCGAAGTAGGGACAAGAACCTTCATCTCTGCCGAAAGCTACCAAGTCCTCGATGTCCCAGGGCGAATTGAGTTCGTTCCACCTTGAGTTCTTACTACCGTAGTACTGACAACCCTTTTTGAAAAAAAAAAAAAATAATAAATAAATAAAAAGTACTCAGTAATGACACTTTACATGAAATAACAAAACCAATATGATGAATTTCTATAGTCATGTGTATCTTCGTTTAAATCCTCGGCATTGTATTCGAGCACTTCTAGAAAGCGTCCTTCTCAACGTACGATTTTTAAAAACTTGACACGCTAAACACGTGTAGTATAGGTACGCTTATAGTCGTTTTTTTTTTTAATCGATACCCATCGTACGCAGCAAATACGTAACATTTCGCGCTGCGCTCGGAATTTTGATAGGCCTACACGTAGACGTGGCTTGAATGTATCTCATTTTTTATCCTTCGAGCCTCTCCACTTTGAATTTAAACATGATCGAAGGTTATCGATTGATCGAATTGCGCAAATTTTAAGAGTCGACGAGTAGTTCAGCGAAATCGACGCGGACAATGGTATTGCGATGAAACGAAATCTACTTTCACGGCAAAGGAGTTTCAAAAATTGGTAGTCGGAAGGAGAGATGTACGTAATTTAATTTCATTTATAGGATACATGTCACTAGTATATTACTAAGTATTTCGATCAAGAAAGGAGCGTGTTACTGTGCCAAAATCAAGTGTAAAACTCAGGCTAAAATTGTCGTTAAACTGCAATATGAATTTTCAAAAATAACCCAATCTGACACTATATCGATGAGCAGGTATACATGGACGGACAATAAAAGGTCACCTTAACGCTTTCAGACATAGTATCAAAAACGAGCGAAAAGTTAGGGACGGATATGTCATTCAGATACTTGCCATTGAACAATAACCGGAGACTGGACTGTAGCTCGTCCCCATCATCTTTTGAAAAACTAAATCTGCCTTTGACGGATGACATGGATTTTCCATCAGATTTACTTGCTCCAGCTTAGGATGAATTGTTTGCACTTTGTTTTTCTTGGTCAGTCAAGTTCTCCAACTTCATGAAAAGACGAGGTTCCCAAAAATGTTGAGGCTTCTTATATTACTTCACAGACTTTTGAAGCGTTCGATTACTTGCGGGTGGATATTTTTTGACTCTGAAGCCCCTGAAATAATAATATCAAATAAAACACACTGCATTGAAATCGAAAATAATATTGAAGTTAAATATAAAAACGAAATAAAAAATTTAAAAAAATTGGTGAAAGATGACTAATCAATGTCGTAAGAGTATTTTTTATTATTATTTTTTTAAATTATACTATTATGAAATTTTAAATAAACAAGGTGTGTAATAACAACTCTGTGTGTGTATCTCGATAAGTATCTCTCTTTGTACGCATACGCGTGCTTTGGAAAGTTATTTTTGTTGGTCCCGTGAAATAACGTCGAATTTTACGTATGGTTATACCGTAACAAATACTTTTGGGATTTAAAAAACAAGGGTACGTCTAGCAAGCCGTTTGCGTGGAATGAAGTACGGAAAAAAATAAAAAAATTTCCAAGAATCGAAAGAAAAATTTTAAGCGCGACTGATCGATCGGATCAAAAGAAAAAACAGCGATTCCGAAAAGATCTGTTTTACGCATCAGCTTCGAGTTCAGGGACATAAAATTTCTTAGGCTAACACGTTGTATGTTTCCTTTTCTCCGGTATTGGACGAGCGAAGCGAACTTTCAGAGAAAAAGAAAAGAAAAGAAAGAGGAACCCGGTGTATAAAAGCGCTTGTATTTACATGATCCTTAGGGCTATTTGCGCGATGACGCTAATTCCTTTTGACTCAAGTGTTTACGAATTATTTTTAAAAGGAAGTTAGGCTCGCGCAGCATACCTTTCGATCTATAAATTGTTCTTTCCTCTCTTTTTGGACTTAACATTCTATCTGATGTAAGGAATTACTTGATTTTGTGAAACTTGTTGCACAAAATTTATTGTTGTAATGTAAAAAGATTTTATCACATTATTTTGTAATAACAAAATACATCACTGTTTATTACTTATATGACTAGAAACATGATATCAAAAATACATTAGTTGTAGAACCATACAAATTTTAGAATAGATAGTTTAACTTAATTTTTTATGAAGAAAAATATAAATAATAACTGTTGGTGTACCTTCATATGATTTGTATTGAAAAAAAAACATTTTTTTAGTATGCAATTAAAGTCTAATAGTAATATCTTAGTAGTAGTAGAACACAGAAATTTAGTAGTTTTTGATAAACGTTCGATAAAATTTTTTTGGAAAAGGAACCTGTTCGCGCAGTTTTTGTGACTTAGTATTTTGATTGAAAAATAGTGTCAATATAGCATGTATATCCACGAGCTAATTTATTAATTATTAATAGAATTCGATTAACAAACACCTGTTCGAATAGAAAAAAATGCAATTACCATTCATTGGTTCTATCACTTTACTTATCTGCTCTCAAATCGTTATCTCTTGTTTCTTTTGCTTGTGTAGCATCTACCTATATTTATTTTGAATACTTGCTGTTTATATTACACGTGTGCGGGTGGCAAAAAAAAAAACTATTATCATTAAACCTTTAATTTTCAATCATCAATCAAATAGTTAGAGGATTCCCACCATAAAAAAAAGAAAAAACTTTTTCTCTCTTTACCTGTTTTCGTTTGCTTCGAATCAACACCTACATACGCACATCTGCACTTGACCCTCCATTATCACTCATAAATCACTCTTATAACAACCAATCAGATAAATCGGATGAAAATCAACTAAAAAAAAATTCTATCCACTCTTGCGATTCGACGCATCACGATTTCTCTTAGTCTCGATACAATAAAAATTAAATACAAGCGAGAGAAACGAGCAAACAAAGCGTGCCGAGTGGCGCGATAGCTTCGCGAGCGTTTTTACGCCAACTGCCATCCGAACAGCCGGGGTATTGCGTTTTACGGTCACATGCAGGAGAGCTGCGCCGCCACAGCCGATCGCGGAGAGGAGTAAAAGGCCGCGATCGTACGCATATACACCTACACTTGCGTGTACTTTGGTAAGCGCACGTTTGTTGCCGTGTGCGTGTGCGCCTCTTTTTTTTTTTTTTTTTTTTTTTTTTTTGGCAAAGCCATGCGCGTACACGCGAGAGGAGAACGAGTGAGAGGACTTTATATATACCCGAGGGAGATCGAGAGTAAGAGAAAAAATTCCGGCGTGGTATGGGTCATTTGTGCCATTTTTTTTTTTTTTTTTTTTTTCTGTAGACTAATATATATCTTTTGATTCGGCACAGTTTAAAAATTGAAAAAAATTTCCTTTGGTTAAGATGAGTTGTCGAATAGTGACAATTTTTTATTTTGTCAATTTAAAACAGACAAGGATAGGATATAACCCAGAAATATGGAGACAAATGATACTTTAGAACTAAATAATAAAATGGTACCCTGATTGAAAAAAAAAAAAAAATATTTAAAACATAGGATTGTCATTGAAACAAAAGCTGATTATAGATTAATCCACGAGGTGAAATGATTAATCATTAAAAAGGAAAAATAAAATGTTTGAAGCATTACGTTCACAAAAAAGAGGATATTAAAAAAAAAAAAACATCACGAGATTGACGAAGTTGAAAGATACAATTGTAAATAAGTTACACGTTTTTGTTAATTACATTCACACGCAAAGTGTTACTTTACGTAGGTATTAGGAATTTAGTCATCCGCACAGGCAAAAGACAAAAGAAAGTAATGACGAACGTCATGGAACGAATCAAAATGAAAAAATGAGAGAAAACTCATATTGGGTAAATTGAGGCTGGTTGCGTGACGTCGAGAGATAACTGGCTGATAGAAACAAATGAATGGACAAAAGATAGAGTATACGATCGGAGATAAGATGATAATGAATCAAGCAAGAAAAATAAGAGAGAAAGATGGACAATAAAGCTAAAAGTTAGAATCGAATTTGATAAATTTGGTAAGGTTTTTTTACGATGTTTATTAATACAAAGAAAAAAGCAAGCCAGAGAAATTACGAGCCAAGTTAGCTATAGACCCGGGATTTGCAGCAATTTTTTTGAAAATAAAATAGGACAAACAAAATTAGATAGCTAACACTGGAAAGACGCAGTGACCTTAAAATTTTTAAAAAACGATTTAAACTTAGAAAATAAAAAAATAAAAAAAAAATTAGGAATTAGACGTTGCGTTACGTGTACGGGTGCACGTATGCTGTGTTTGACGCGACACAAAAGCCGACAGATTCCATTTGTTTTTTGCAAAGTGAAGTATGTTTTTAAAACCACAGTAAGATAAGATATACTTAGGTATTGCGCGTGTGCGTCCGTGTGTAAGCGCGCACCTTATTTTTTTTTTTTTTACACACTTTTGACCAATAGGGTGGAGTGTACTTTCGCAGTTGTGTATTCATTGTGTGCCTAAATGTATATATATACTTAAACACCTTATCACATTGTACGCCGTAGCTGTAGAGGCTCTAGCGTTGGAAAGCGCAATCGCTCGTCGAAGCGAGGGACTGATGACAAATGGATATACAATGTTTGGTTACAGAGTACACATACTTGCTTTTTAAACCGAGTTTCAAAATAATAGTGGACAATGAAGTTGGATGGTGTCAAGTTTTGAAGTTTTAAGCTAGAAATTACTAGGTTGATAACGCCAAGGTGTTTTATTACGAGTCAGATGAATTTCTCAAGAAAAGTTAGGATCGTTGACCGTCAAAGGGCTGTGTATGGTTAAGGAAATAAAGTTATGAAGATCTTATTACCACAGGATTTGATAAAACGTAAGACAAAAAATAGTGCATAGATAAAAATTTTTACTGTACCATAAGTGATTGCTGCTTTACAGGAGGTTGTTGAAATCACAGCGGGAGTTGATGTAATAAGGTGAAATTGAAGTAGAAAAACCAGTTCCTGCTTCCTAATAGGATAAGCCCTGCTAATGTGCAATTAGACCTAATTAATTGGCACTTGTTTACGACAGGCCCACCGGAAACGATTTTTTTTTTTTTTTTTCATCATGAGAGAAAATTGATGATCGAGAAATGAACATTTTTACATGAATTTTAACCCTTACGTTAACTTGCATAGATGATTATGCTAGGGGGACACTTTTCCCAAAAATGTTTTCCCAATAAAATATTTCTCCAATCTCTAGTTTTCCCAAAATTAATTGTTTCAAAAAATGTTCTTCTCAATATTAACTTTACCAAATCTTTTTTTTTTCTAAAATGATCATTTAAAATTTTTCTAATACAGTTGTCATCGACTATCTTGACATCAGTCATGAAAATTGTAGTAAAAACAAATAAATGAAGTCGTATAATTAAGGGATAAATAATTATTTCATTATGCTGCTCAGGAATTATACATTTTTTTATAACTATATGTATGTTGGATATGGTAGTGTAGAAGTTTGGTGGAGACATAAGTAAAGTAATTAACTTTTTTTTTAAGTCTTCCTACCTCTGTTGAGACAAGAAAATTTTTAATTATAACAGAAGGAGAAACAGTGCAAATAATGCACAAAAAAAATAATATTCGCTAAAAATATTTTGCCTATAATACGTTGAGTCAAGAGAGGTTAATTATCTTTTAGATTCAAGTATTGTTTACCACTTTGGTTCCTGGTACGATTTGAATAGATATAAGACACCAAAATACCTAATATACTCTATACTAATTAGTAGCTTTTAGGATTCCGATCTACACTAAAAAAAAAAAAAACTTTATCAAATAAAAATTTACTTGAAAACTGACGTAACTTTAATAAGATTTAGTACGCAAAAACACATATAGGTTGAGAGGAACTTTACCAAGTACCTATATATACATCCAGTGTACCAAAATGTTTAGTGACAATTTGTCAATTTTTTGAGCAGAAACTATCATGATAAAAAAAAAAATGATTCAGTACTTTGGATGAACTAAACAGAATCTAAAATATATTTTTATTCAGACAAAAACAATTACAGGCCTTATTTCATTGGCATGTGCACGAAATCAGTCTCAAAATAAATAAGTTAATCCCGAATTTTTGGCACATTCTCTCAAAATACGCACTCAACTAATATCGGCGATTGAAAACATTCGTAGTAGAGATCTCGGTGATTTTGTTATAAAAACATGAAATTTCATTAAAAGTTAAAACAAATAGTATACATCAAAAGTAAATTGTACCGCTTCGTTTTCCCAATATGAAAAACTTTTTTTGTAAAAATAAGTAACAGCAGCACAAGTTCCGAATAAAAATAATTTTCGTCCGATTTTTTAAGAAAATAATCATGATAAATAATGTAGAAAAAAAAAATGTAACTAAAGACGTACAGTAAAGGTGAAATAGAATTTAGAACCTAACAAGATTATCTCTCCTTCCTTCTACTCCCCTCCCTCGGCATTTCCAATGCACGACTAGCGCAAAAGAGATAAAAGAACGAGAACGGTATGAATGCCCGTTTTCAAGCTGACTTTCGTTCGACGCGACGATCATAAAAGCTTTGCACCAGCATTGCCACTCGCTTGCGGATGAAATCAGTATGGTAGCATGAAAAAGCGCCTTAACGCAAGTAGGGGAGATGCGGGTGTGGCTGGCACTCTAACTTTAACTAATTACTGTAATTTTATATTACAATCTTTTAAAATTACAAAAAATGTATCTTAAATTTTACCGTGAATAGAAAGGAATGTAATAGTTAAATCAAGATTAATTCATTTACTTTCCTTTTTATCGAACGAATACCAAGATCCAGTTGTGCCCACTAGCAGGGCAGAGCTGGCAGGACGGTGGGGCAGAACTGGCAACAGAAGCAGACCACCATACAGACATACACGGCCATATAATAATTAAGAATAGGTGAGTGATAAATATCGAGTAATAAAGACAGTGCAAATTAAATAATTATCTAAACGTGTAATACCTTTATTAATTTTTTTTATTACAACTATTTATCACAATGATTGAATCTTCGGTTATAGTTTAAATACAACGTCTTATACAACAGTATATAATATCTTCAAACAAACATGTATCTAAGTAACACTTAAAAATTAATTAAAAATATGTAAAAAAATACTTAAAAAAATTTTTTTTTCTTTGATCTACTTTGACCTAAATTTTAGATTTGTATCCTTACATTTTAATCCAAGTGCAATAATTTAAACTAAAAGTGGAGTTGTGCTTACTTCTACCTATCGTCTGCAGCGAGTAGGAGGCTTCTCGCGCCAGCTGTGCCCTCTTGTAGGTGCCAGGTTCTGCCCCATCTGACACATTTGTTTAAAATTAATATAACTTTTTCCCTTTGCATCGAACAATATTGCAAAAAATCGCAAATTAAAGTTAATGACTCAATCAACAAGATGGTACGTAATTTATAGCCTAAAACATTTTTGTTTTCATTTGTCCAACGAAAAAAAAAGTCGACGGATGGTCATTGATATTTAAGTTACCTTAGAAATTTCCTCGTTACTTTTTGTGAAATAAAAATATTAAATATGAATGAAAATATTTTTTTTATCAAGAAAAAATTAGGGATGCCAGGTTTACCCGCCCTGCCAGCCACACCCGCATCTCCCCTATAACAAAATATATTGCAGAGACACTAAGTATACTTTGCGACGTAGCATCATCTGAACAAGTAGTAAGTACGTCACAGTCGCTGTTCAGGAATATTCTACACCGTCGTCTCGTCCACCTGTGATTGAGGAAAGACAAACATATTCTCGAGGATGACGGAAAAAAGTCCACTCGTCGATACCCAGCCGCAGCACCAGCCACCGCCTTACACACCTACGACTACTGCGACTCCGGTACAAGGTGAGAACGTAAAGCTCAAACGTCAAAGTAAGGTTATAAGGCTTTCGTGTTTTTTTTTTTTTTTTTTTGAGCTATGTAAATATTGCGTTGTTTTGATACGGATGATAGATAGGTCTTTCGGTACTTTTTGGATACTCGTTAGCAGATTTTTAATTGTAGTCTTTTTATAATAATAACAACAATGTAAAGAACAATTTTTTCGTTAAATTTAATAATTCACGTTAATAGACCTTGCGAATCGCCAGATAAAAATGTTTTTCAATAGTTTACGATTGTATTCGACGCGTAACAATATTGTACATAGCAAACTATTTTTTCCGAGATGGATTACGTGTTTTTGCGTGATAATGATGACAATAATACATGTGTACAATTACTTCAAAACTTGTACAACTGTTGTAGTACTTTACGTGAATATTTTCTGGAAATTCTAATCTTTGAATTTTTAATCTTCAGTTGCTGATGATGACTCACCAGCTCATACTTCTTGTTGAACATGCACGCACAAATACTGTTGTTGTAACATGCATGAAAAAAATTTATTGTTTAAATGTCAATTTTTTCCATCAAACATTGTTTTTTATTGAAATATGTTACAGAAATAAGAATTTCGACATTTATTTTTTTTTTTTTTCAAGATCGACCGTTTACATACAATTCAATTGTTACATAAAATTATGACTTAGCTATTATTTATTATTGCGAAATACATCCTGGCCATTAGAAACTTTACAATCACGTGTTTTGGTCATTGGAAAAGTTACGTTGAGGATTAATTTTATTTTTTTAGGAACTCCTTCGTGGCAGCAACCACCCGGGTATTATCCAAACATAGATACACCGCCCTCATCGAACTACCCGCCAAGTAATTATGGAGCAACACATTCCACAACGGTTATTGTTCCTGAAATCATAGTTGTTGGGGGGTGTCCCGCATGTAGAGTAAGTCAACAAGAAATTGTTTTTCTTGCTACTTTTTAGTTTTCAAAGACCAACAATACTTTTTTATTTCTTTGTTGCAGATTGGAGTATTAGAGGATGATTACACTTGCTTAGGAATCTTTTGCGCAATATTTTGCTTTCCCGTCGGTATCATTCCTTGTTTGCTCCTTAAAAATCGACGTTGTTCTAATTGCGGGGCTTACTTTGGGTGAATAAAACAATACGATGAAAATCATTAATTAACAAAAGGTTAAAAATGTAAAAAAAAATTTTTTTCTCGTGTTTTATGAAAGTTAACAATAATGTTAAAAGATTTTATGAGGTAGGAAACCAAAGAATCTCAAAAAATGGTACTTTTGTACATTACCAAGCCGAGTGCTTTAAAAATTGATAGGCTTGTTTTTGTTTAACATCTTGTTGACTTTTATTTTCTTCATTAAACAAAATGAAACAAAAATGTTAGTATTAAAGTTAAAATCATTTTTTAATGTACCAATTAAATTTATTTAGTAATTGGCAAAAATTAGAAATGAAAAGCATAGGAGGAGTGTAATTTCTACAAAATATTTAACTTTTTAAAATATCTGTAGAAAACTGAAATGTTGTTGTTGACATAAAATTTTTCAAAGGATAAAGTATTCATGGACTGTATTTAAATACAGAGCTCCATTATTTTTTATAATTGACTAGATTTATTATTTCTAAACAAAATAACTTAATTGTGTAAAAAAAATTAAAATTTAGATACTGTTCAACTACACTGAAGTATTTTATTTTGCAATATTTAGGGTCGATGTCAACCAATATTTAGTGTCACTTGTATCATTTGCCAAGACAACGTTTAAAAAAATTTTTTGTAATAATTTAGAAAAAGTTTACATAATTAGCGAGCATTATGTCTAAATGCAATGGTTTTAAGCTTGTATTTATTCCATTCAAGTTTTGAGTCCATACAAAATGCTATTTATTTATATAATGATAGTTACTGAAAAATTTTCATAACTTGTGAAAATTAGCGATATGAAGTTGTTAAGAATGTGACAATACAAATATAAGATGTTAAATAAGTAGTTTAAATTTCATACAAATAAAGTTAATACAGTTTTTGAAAACATGTTATCACGATATTTTTAATAAATGCGTTTATAATGTTTTATAGGAAATTAAGAATTTAGTAAAAAAAAGTAAGAACTACGATTTCACGTTAATGATACATCATTAAATCGGAGTTTATATTTCTTCATTCATCGCAATTGAGCTCAACAATTGAAGGCTTGAATACTTTTTTTTTTTTAATGTAAATAATTTGCGTCAACTATTTTTTCAAACAAAAAAATTATTGATAATCAATCGAATAATGTTATGAAGTCGAAACGGCATACTTTAAAAGTTAAAAAATTTTAATTGCATCAAAACTACCCTTACATATCCGATTTAAATACTTAACTAAGCTAAATAAAATAATTCTTACAGTCCAATAACTTAGTGATTGCAATCAGGGTCAATCTTTTACTATTGTTTGTTTTTGAAGTATTTTTAACTGAAGCTCAGAGACCACATTTATACGTAGCTTTGAATTACTGTATTATNATTATTAAATTATTTACTGTTAATCTATTATAATTCTGGAAATTATTTGTAAATTGTGGCAAAAATTTTTTTTTTTTTTCTAAGTTAAGTAGAGAAAAAGGAACAGTGTAAAACATATTAAGTCAGTATCGCAATACAAGTTCCCATGGTGTAGTTAATTATATGTTTAAAGCTCTTAAATCAAAGTGAAATGTAATATTAATAAACAGTTTAAATGTATATTTTCGAATTATTTAAATTACATTGTGTAGTCTTTCTTTAATGTACATTCTTATACAATCGCAAAATACCTCTAGAATTTATAAAATTTCTATTCTAAAATTCAAATATTTTGCTTTAATAGTCTTTCAAAAAAAAAAGAAAAAAAAGTTTGTAATTTTCTAATTAGTTCTTTCGGTNTGAGAAGGTGTTCCCTCCTAAATTGAATAAAATATGACGGAAAGAGGAAAAGTAGTTTTTAAGCACATATTTATATTTCAAAGAGAAAATCAGTTGTACAATCCTAACGTTCGTAGATAATATTAAAATTCAGAAAAGGAATGATTTAAGGAATTAGGTAAAAATAACATTCAATTTTTTATGTACATACCGCCTATCTCTAGATCTAAATATCATTTTATATTAATTTTTTTTCATTTAACGTAAAACTTATAATTTTTTTAAATCTACGTAAAGCTAAGCTTGGTAATCTAAAAAAAAATATAAATCTTAAACAGTATAATTATTTTATGTTCACACACCAAACACCCAGCCTTTTAAACGTTTTAAGTTCGATACAACAAAATGTTTTTAGAAATTAAATAATAGGATTACTTTATTGGTATCACGAAAAATAAACTCATTGTTTGTTATAAAACCGAATGTTTCAGGAAAGTCATTATGATATTCTGGAATGTTAGGTGAGGTAATATTCCTTGCTTTTGTATTAGACATCTGATAACTACATATCAGTTAGTGTATATAGGGCCAATTCGCAAATTTATTGCTAAAAATGAGTTTTTTTTCACATACGGGAATTTTTTCTTCTCGACAAAGTTTTTAAGGATGTCAAGTTTTACTAAAAACTAACTGAAAGTCAGTCATAAAATTTTATTACTTGTAGACTAAAATGTATTAACATACACTTAGTAAATATCTTTAACCACCTTTCAAGTACGTTAGAAATATTTTTTCTCCCATCTCTAGGCGTGTTTTTAGATATTTTAGAGGAAACTGGTTTTTCTAGCTTTTTAACTCAAAATACGTAATACTTCAAATAGTTATATAAATTTTATCAGTTCTTTAAGAATAGAAATGAAAATTTGTACATGAACCCTAAAAAGCAAGAGATGAATAATATGAGAACTCAGGTTTTCTAGATAATAAACTTAAGCAGAAAAATCAAGAGGGAGAGGCAGATAAAAAAACTCGCATTACAAAATTGAACACTGACAGCAAGGTCGTTTATAGCCAGTGGGTGAGCGCACCGACAGAAAAAAAAGAAGAAAAAAAAAAAAAAAACATGATAATTTTTATAATCTTCGTTATTTTTTTGTATTGAAGATATTTATGATCAAGCTGAACATTAAGAAAGAAGAATATACATAAAATGTATTGAGAAAACATTTGATTCATAAAATTTATCCTTAAAGTACAAAATTAAATGTTAGAAAATGTATAATTATAATATCCATTATATCTTATACTAGGCGAAAATTTATTTACTGCATCTTGCAGTTCAGTTAACAATTCATTATTTTTATACATAGCGTTTGATATCTTATTAGGTAGGAGAATGTAATATTCTTCATCTAATTGAGCTACAGATCTTGGCCCATATTTGGTCTTTACTTTCTGCACCTTTGTTACCATGTGTTTATGACCTTTG